ACAGCTTGTAATTACTTCAGTTCAGACCATAATAAAAAGCATGCTCTGCGATCACAAACTAAAAAATTTGTCAGAAGAATGGATTTACCTAATAGATTTTTATTTTCACCAGAAGGGGAGAAGTGCAGACACTTATCACTAGAAATTCAGATCCTGCTTTCTAATTTGGCCTCACATTTAATGCTTTCCCTTATCACTGAGCCTGCCTTGTATTTTTTTTTAACCTTTATGGTGTTAATCAGCTGCTGCATTTTTAGTTTCACTCTTCTGTTTTCTGACATTCAAGTGTTTTTTTAACTGACCTGCTGTAAGAAGTTGTTCTCCACAGCCCTCCCACCCCAGAAAGCCTTTGACTTCACTCTTGCCATGGGTACAAAGGAAAAACAGTCTTCTTTCCTTTCTGACCTACATTTTCACAGTGCAGCATTGCATAGCTGGCGGTGCCGCTTCCCTGCCTCCCTCCTTCCCCCCGTGCTCCCCTCCCAGAGTGGCTGGGTCTTGCGAAGCAGAACTGGAAAGGGGAGGCTGGACCGGATGGTTTAGAGATGTAATCTGTAGCAATACAGCAAATGCCATGTCTGTTAGGTGTGATCTGCAATCTGAAATTATTGTGGTCAGCCAGGGTGAGACTGTGTGCCGTCCAAATCGCATGCTGTTTTGGAAGAGCAAACTAAAATGAAAAGGACGATAACGCTCTTAAAATTTGATAGGTGCAGTTACTGTACTGTAATTAAGTAATTGTCCAATATTTATTTATTCGTGTTATTTGACGGCATAAAAGAGGGATTAAGAAATGGTTTATACAATTGGAAAAAACATGTGAACAACTACTGATGCTTTTGCAAATCAGTTACAAGCCTGTTCTTCCTAATGGCACAAATGCAAAAAGTATTAGCTTCTATATTAGCATCTTTCCTCTCCCTTTCATCTCCTCCTAGGAAGGTTTCACACGTTGCAATGAGTAATCATTCAAGAGATAAGATTTTCTTGTGCTGTGGGATTATGCAGGTATTTTAGATGGAAATATGATTGGGGATTGTGTTAACACATCAGGAAAATTAGTAGGGGTGGGGGGCAGTCTAAAGTAATGGCTTCTAGGTGTTTCCCTCCCCTCCAGTGCCTGATTTAGCATGGATTTTGAGACAGTTAATGCATGTCTTAACATGTTAATGTATTCTGAAAATATTTTGTAAATATGGACTGACACATTTTATATTACTGCATTGCAAAGAAAAGCAAATTTTAAATTACTATTCTAGTAAGGTTAACCTGAAAGCTAGCCTGTCTCATCTCTTCTAGATCATTGCCATCATATGTTTTTAAATTTATAGGTCATAAAAAATGATTTATAACATTTAAGCAAAGACCTTAACGGACACTGAATTCTCCCTCAGACCAACCACTGACCCTTGGAAGTAACTTTACCTGTAGCTTTTTATTTTTTGGACTAGAACAGATGGTGAACCTTAACCATGAAAAATCTGTCAGTGGCTGGGGATAGGATCAGTTGTGTTACACCAAAACCTGTAGTTGTGCATTTTCTGTGCTCAAATCTATTGATGTGTGATCTGCAAATAACCCACATCACTGATTTAACTGGAAGTGTGAAAGGAACAGTTCTGTTGTTGGTGAATAACAGTTCTTGGTGGGACTTCATTTTGGTCATCTAGTATCAGTGCGTAAGTCTTTATTCAGCTGAAAGTTAAATAGGGAAAAATTACGGAATTTCAATTTCTGATTTTTTGTTACCATGCTTTACTTCTCTAAGATTTTTCTTTGCCATAATAATGGTGCTGGTGACATTGCATTTTTTTTCCTATAAAAAGTTTTGAGTCATTATGACTTTTTGTTTTCAATCTGGAGCAGGCACACAGAGAAGTAAAAACATTCAAAGTGAATATTATACAAACTTATATACCTCAATGATTAAACTACTTAGATCCTCTTTTTTTTTAAAACTGCATTGCAGATGTTAGACTTTTAGATACCAGCTTGTATCCTATTGCTAATGAAAATGCTTTTTCTTTTTGTCATACTTTATGAGGAAAGGAAGTGAGAGAACTTGTCAAAGATTTTAATGATATAATTATTGCACTATTTTTTAACATGAACTGTTTTTATATTCTAGTAGAGTGAGCAAATAGCTTAAGCACAAGCTAGAAAACAGTAAAAACATTAAGAGAATGGAATGTAGATCTTTCATTCCATAATTGCATATTTCATCATACAAGCTGTCCCTCCTGATTCTGAAAGCTTTGTAACAAACTGTGCAAGAAAACAGTACGTGGATACAAATAATTTAAGTAGCCTTTGGCTGTCTTGAAAATGGTTCAAATATATTTATAGAGTAGTTTCAACTTAAACCCAAACATTAACACAAATTCTTAAAAATTATGTTGGACCCTTAGAAAGGCATTAAAAACAGCTTTTTATTTAACATCTTATACTCCTCACTAGTATTTTAACTAGCAAGAAATTTGATATACTGAACTCGTAGGCAGTGTACCGTAGCTCTGCCAAGCTTAGGCAGATCAGCATCATGCATGAGCTCCAAAGTGGAGTACCCGAGAGGTTGTTTGGCTGCCAAACTTTGTGATTCAAGTGCCAAACTATTTAAGGTTTAGTTATTAACCTCTTGGACTATATCCAGAAGCCAGTAACAGCATTTTGAACTAGCCAGAGCTGGTAAAATCCAAGTAGAGTACATTACAGTCTAGCTTGAAAGTGCTGATGGCAGGGAACAGCGTTGAAGCCCTCTCCAAGAGGATGGACTGTGTTCTTGGCCAGCATTACTCGGGGAGAGGCCACTTATGGGATTGTACATCTTCCAGAACCGAATACCCCTGAGCAGTAGCTGGCTTTCAGGACTCACTGTGGTTGTCTAAAACTTGTGCTATTGTGTAAAGCTTGTGTATAGTTAACTTAAGCCAGGTGGCTTTCAGCTGGGATATTAACCGTGGCCTGTGTTAGCTGGAAGGAAGCAGGCAGATGGAGTGTGAAGAAAACTACAAATGGGTGTTGAAAGAACACTCCCAAAGACTTTTTCTAATGCAGCTGGCATCTCTGTGTCACATGTATGCCAATAGTCATCACATAAACTAAGTGGATGCACTTTCAATCTAGTTGGAGAAATCTCTACTGCAGAGAGTCACTATTTTTACACACATTTACTTTCCCTGAAAATGGACATTTCTACAATTTGAGGTATCTTGGAAATGCACAAATGTATATTTATCAAACCTCAAATGCAACAGATGACAACACTTAGTGGAGGATCACCAAAAAAATGGTGACGAGCAAATTCCCATACCCATCTTCAATAGAAGCTCCTAGAATTTCTTCGGAAGGCCAGACCAGTGCAATACAGGCTGTTCCTGTGTGTAAGTTCCTGCATGCAGACAGCCTTAGGGCTGCTGAGAGTGCTCAGTAATATGATTTGTCTTTTCATTACAAAGAACAAAAACCTGGTGTATTGGCCGTGGTATGAAAACTGGGCTTTAAAAGCTAGGGAATGCTAGAAAATTCAAGTAATGCTAAAGCCAGAGATGTATTTCTTCCTGAGCAGCTTTCCCATAAAAAGTGAAGACTGAAGACCATAAATATAATCAATTTTATTAAATAATAAAAGTACATCAAATATTGGTATTTTATCCAATTAAAAAGTCCCAGTCAAACAGAAAACTAATCACAGTTCCATCATTTGCTGCTAAATCAGAGGTGGGTATTGTTTACCCTGGTACTGTGACAAGCAGTAATAACCTGAATCTGATACAACTCTTCTGTAACTCTGTTGGAAAATAAGCTTTAAAAGTTCTTTTGTTAGAAAACTGGAAACCTGTAAGTAGATTTAACCTACTTCTCACAATGTCTTTTCAGTGGTACGAGTTGTGGCTTTAATTTTTAAAATTGCTTAGATTTTGTTCTTGCCCATACTGCTTTCTGGAACTCTCAGTCTTATTAAGACTTAGTCTTCCCCACCTGTAAAGGTAAGGTGTGTGGCTTAATTTTTTTCTCGCAGACCTATTTTTCACTAGACTGATCAAAAGAACAAAATCAACAAAGACCTAAGGTTGGTTTTCTCCCTCGTTCCACCAGGTGAGACATTTTTGAAACTGCAGTGAAAGACTTGAAGTTCCATTTTGCATTTCTCATCAGCCTTTGAGTTGCCTTAATGCCAAGATGAATGTTACTTGGCACCAGCTTTTAGGAGCTCGCCCTATGACTATTAGAGAATTAAATAACTTTTAGTCAGCTCTTTGAGGAGAATCTAGTTGAATCTATGGTTGCATCTACAACACCGCTTGCATTTCCGAAAGTGATGTATGAAGAGGCAGTTTTCTGAAGTTTGATTTAATTTATCCCTCTTTCCTAATCAAAATAAGCAACCTTCCCAAAACCGGACCTACTTTAAGGGAGTACTTTCTTAGTGTTTTAGAGTTCATTCATAATGTCTTACTAAATTGTAAATGTGACATTGCTAAACGTATTCTACATTAAAGAAGCGTATAATAATTTTAATGTGGTATTTGAAGGTAAAACCGATCTGCCCTTTGTGCATTTCCTTAGTTTTTCATTTTGTAGCAATTCTAGATAACAAGAAATCATTACAGTGAAGAGAACTAGAGCTATGAATGCCTTTTTTTAAAATAAAGTTTTAGTGTGGAAAATATGCTCAATTATATTTTATTGGCACATAAATCAGCAATTGTACCACCAAAGTGTGCATGCTCATTATTGCACATTAACACAAAAAACCTTATATACTGTTGTCTTTTTTTCCTCAAATTTGCTGGGAAAACCTTTTGGTTATAGTTTCATAATATTCCTGTTATCAAGAACTATACTTTTTTAACTTAAAAAAATAATTTTCAGACTCCACTATGTGATGGGGATCAACTTAAAGGCCGTCCCGTTAAGCTCATCCATTTTCACTGTACATGCGTTCAGCGGTATTTACAAATTGCACATGGCGTACATTTGACAGAGGGAGCGTTGTCCTTCTAGTGCAGTTTACGATGGCGATACCTGCCTGCTTTTTCTTTCGCTGCATTGGCACAGGCATTGTGCTTATTTTGTTGTAAGTGGTTCCAGTATTTGATCAGTTCACTAGGTTGGAACTGATGGGAGGTAATTAGGTGGCTATATTTACAGCTGGAGTAAGAAACTCGCCAGTGATTGAAGACAAACTCATTGGGTGGAGGCATAGGGTCAATTCGCAGCTTGGCAAGACAGATCCCCACGTATACATCCTCTAAATGTAAACGTCTGATGCTTAAGGAGACTTTAAAGATTTTTTCTGCTAAATCTCCAGAAAAAACGTAACCAGTCCCAGAGCAGAATACAGGATAACGTTCACTTGGATACAAATCAGGTGGCATATACCACTTACTATCCTTGTTTCTATTAGGTGCATAACCTCTCATTAAATAACCTGTGAAATACTTGTGCCTTGGAGGAAGTTCTGGTTTCAGGAGCTTGTGTATTAAATATTCAGTATTGACAAACATATCGCTGTCAGTTTTCATAACATATGGAACACGTGGACAATAAGATGCAACCCAGTTCATTCCCATCAGAGTTTTAATGGTTAAATTATAGTAGGTGTCTAAGTACTCTTGTTGAATGATGTCATGGTACTGTCTGCTTTCCTCTAGTATGGTACGCTGGAGGTATCCGTTTAGCTTGATGCTTAACCCCAGCAAAAAAATACGAACAATTTGGATGCCAGGTGTCAGGCTTTCGTTACCCCAAGTTTGTCGAATAGCTTGTCGAGCTTCCACCTGGCCCGGCTCTGCAGCTATGAGCAATATTAGGAAAGGGGTCTTCTCTTGGCATTTCTCAGGCTCATTGATGATGTATTTGAAATGATACAAAGTTGGATGCCCGGTACCTTTTTCATTGTAAATACTTCCATTGGCACTGAGTGTATTTTCCAAACCAGTTACTCCTTGCAGCGACAGGTCTGTGTTGTTGGAGTTGGTGACTGTTTGAGGCCTGAGTGTCTGAGGTACGGCGTCTTTCCACACGTTCCTTAGAGAGCTGTGGTTTGTCTCGCTTTTTGTAGATCTAAATCCTCGTATAGTGTAAGCCATGGGATTTTCTTTGAACCCGGCCCTGCCTGGCAGCCAGTCATGATGATTAAAGAACAGAAACATAGCAAAAAGAAATACGAGAGAGATCAGGCCAATGAGATGGGTGCGAAACAGAGACCTTTTGGTATTCCAGGTCATCTTTGCAAAGCAGCAGTGTCGTCTTCTCCACTGAAGCATGTTGTAAGAATCCAATGGTGGGATATGAGCCAATGGCCAAGCAAAATGCCCTTCCGATTGTTTTTGAATCCACTGCTATTCTTTGGTATTCATTTTCTTTTGTTCATGTCGAGTAATTGTCTGCAAATGGCTCACTCTGCAAAGATTTAAAAAAGAAAATCAGAAATCTTTGATTTTGCATGCTCATAATATAAAAGGTTACAATGAGAAAGTAGGTATAATCACAAAATTCAGTTCAATTTTGGGGGGAAAAAGAGCAGCCCATGCTAATATAACAAGGTTTAATTTTATGCTGAAAGCCAGCCTTGATTTATGATTAAGGTTGACTTCATTTGTTAGCTTTTAAAAATGCTTTCTTTTCATGGTACAAATTTTGACAAACATCCTGGGTACAAAAGATGTTGATAAGGAAAAAAAAAAATTGATCATGTTAGCAGAAGAAGTGTTAAGTAGACGTAAATAGCTTCATGTATACTGACTGTGAAATCCTTCTACAGTGTTTGAGAAGATCTGAATGAAAAGGCCTTGATACCAGATGGAAGGTTTATTGGCATTAATTAAAATTGATTTGACATGCAGAGGCTAGTACGGCTCACAGTTTAAAAACCTTTTTTGTAAAATGATCATGTATTGGTGGTGGGACAGACGGTGCAAGGTTGATTATGGCGGAGTTGTGTTAGTCACAGTACACTGCTTGGCGTGTTTCCACCGGCCCCAACTGCGTTCAGAAAGTCAATGAGAAGATGCACCTGTCAAAATTAATTTTCAGGGTCCAGTAACCTCACTGCACAGCCCTCAGATGGTAACGCAGGATAACATTTTCGGTCACCTTTCGGGCACCTTTAACCTTCTACTCCACAATGAAGGAAAATATTGAATGGAACGCCTGGCTGTTGTGCCAGGCTCATACACAGTTGATGTAAAATTAAGCTGTTGATTTTTGGTAGGCAGAGATCTTGGGTAAATGTTCATATTAACTGGAAGTAAAATTGCACAGCACTAAGTTTCTGGCAAACTATCTGATGAACATGAGTCTTAGGGGTTTTTCCTCTAAATTTATACGTAGCTACTATACTTCTGGTATCGTACAGAAATTTCAAGTATTTTTGCCAGGAGCTGTAACTGGCAGAGTCAATATGGCAGCTTCATGATGCTGCATATTAAAGGCTGATCACATCATCTCGTAAATGAACCTTTCACTGCACAGTAGCAATTCGTTTGTGATTTTCAATTTGCTCTAATTTATTTCTGGGCCCTAGGGTTTTGTATAGGAAAAAGGATGACAGTTGAACAAAAGTCCATAGAAAATGCTATTTCTAATATAAATGTGTAATTTATTAATTACTTTGCTATCTTCTAAAACCAATATTGGGATTAACTCCTCCATTTAAAAACTAAGTGACATGTTATATGGGAAATTACAGGATTTTACATTGTAAGGAAATATTTTAAGATGAGATGGCAGTTGAATAATATATCATTAAATGGTATTTGTGTGACAGCATTCAGTCTGCCTCGTTAATGTAAGGGAAATTTTTTTTTTCAAAAGGGTAGGGAGAGCCATATAAGTAAGCTTTATTTTAATTACTGTATGTCAGTTTATATATAAACAAAAGAGTGTCTATGCAGAAGATGCCTTGTTCACAATATTGGAAGCAAGGGGAAGTAATATTGCCCAGAGTCAGAATTGTCTCTCTTGCTGACCTCCACTAGGAGGAGCAAGTAAGTGGGGATTTTAACTCTGGTTTGTGACCATGTAAATGTATCTAAAAAGGCGACTCTGCTCCTTGATTCTCCTTCTGAAATAGCAAAATATTTGTCTAGTGATCTATTAAGCTCTTCCCTGTCGTTTATGCCATTACACAGCATTCATGGATTTTGGTCTCAAGTTCACTGAAAGTATTTCTGATTCTTTTTAATTTTTTTTTTTTAACTGCTTTGGTGTGATGCCACTTACCAGAGACTGAGCTATCTATCTAAAAATTATTTTCCAGCCTGCAGTTGTTAAACATGTGTGTCTAAAGTATGCAGCTTGAGGATTAACCTGAAATTCCACACTGCTCTCTTTATCCTGCTTTTAACTCAGACATTATCCTTATGTGAAAGAAAATAAGCCACAAACGTAGAATACTTTTGCTTATCTGACCACTTGCACCTGCTTTTGCATGCTTAGAAAATAAAAGTCTGCCCTCAGAACTAATAACTTGTAGTTTCTCTGCAGTGTGCAGTGAGTTTTAAATGAACAAGCAGCTATTTGGGAAGAATATCTCTGCATTAGCAAATATAAATGTCACTTCGAAGGGTATCCTAGATCTCAGGGAAATTAATTGTTTGATACCAGTTTGGAAGGCAACAGTGGGAATATTTGATTAATTATCGTTCCATTGCATGCATATGCAATTTAGGAAGAAAGTCAGAACGAGAATTTAATGGATGCAGAATAGCAGCTAGAATTTGGATTAATTTTGTCACACTGAATTGTTCCACTTCTAAAACTGCAGTCACTAGATGCAAATACTTCAGCAAATCTGCAGTGCACTATTAATCTGTGTTTAATTTTTAACTGAGGTAGTGTTTTGTTTTGCACCTACTTTCATGTATCAGTAGGCGAAAGTGAGAATCTCAAGTTATGTAAATACTTGTGTAAACTGAAAACTGTCTTCAGGTGCTGCCTTGCCACAATGCACTGAGAAAGTGTCCCAGAAAGGCAGTTGTAATGGCTGAAACCTTTCCGAAACCTTTTTTTGGTGGTGGTTTTTTTTTATTGTGGGTTTTTTTTCGGTTTTGGTTTTTGTTTTAGTCTACATGCTCATGTTGTGCATGTTAAAGTAAGTTTTACAGCGAGGGACAAGAACTAGAATCGTAAGAAATTCAGAGACACTCATTTCTCACTTATTTCCTTCATTTTTCAAGGTGGGAGTTTCTTAGAAAATCTTCAGTCTCTGTTTGCCCTTTAATCCCATTGTATGGATAGGGGAAGGACCCACATTTATTTCTCAGCTTCATAAAACTGTTGAATGGAAAAAACAAATAACTTTGTGTCTCACTTTCTTGTAATTCAGGTGTAAACCATTTCGAAGTATCCAGTGGGTATTAAGCATTCTAAATACAGTGATAGCAATTGCTCCTTTAAAAAAATACCACATGCTAGGATGCATTGTTTAAAAATAATTTAAGCAGCCATCAATATATACTAAACCCACCATCAAATATTACCATAAAGTATTATTTTTCTCTCACTTTTCAATTAAGGTTAGAGCGTTACTGCTTTTGCTTAAATACTTAAAATTTCATTTCCAAGAAGGTTTATGAACAGGCACCAGCCATTGGCAGTGGGTAAAAAAGCCAAAGTATAGCAAAAGGTCTCACCTTGTCCTCTAGAAGTGTGTTGTTGCATGTAGTCTGCATTTTGAAGAGATGACTTTTAATAGTTCTACTTCATTTTTGGCACTTGACTGTGCAGTCACTGATGCATTATCAAATGCCAAATATCTAAACTGTGAATGCCTCTTGAATTTTTATTTGTGATCTGTGCTCTGCTGGTGTTTTGGTTCCTTGTACTTTCAGTTCTGTTCTATAATTACAGCTTTGCAGATTGAAGCATTTGACTTCCTATTTACATGTCTTGGATTTTCATACTTTGGTTAGCTGTGTGGGCAAACTCCTTAATTAGAGGGAAGGGTTCAAAAAGGCAGCCTGCGTCGCTATTCTGAGCAGCAGCAGCAGCGGTTGCATATTAGGCCTCCCATAATGTGCCTGAGTTCACTTCCAAACTGCATCGATCTTTTGCACAGAACAGTACTCAGGCGGAGGTTCGATGTGCAGGTTTTGAAATGTCGGATACGAAAGGCGCACCGCTAGCAGGAGTATTGCCTGAGGGTAGAAATTTGTGTTTTAAAAGTTCTGGAAACTGGCTTTACCTTCTAAATGGCTTAAAAGTGGTCTGAAACCAGTGACTGTTGTATGCTGCATCCTTAGGTATGTGAACTCTTTCCAGCTGCAGTTGTTTTAGTGCATGTTAGCATTGCCTTTGGGCAAAGAAAGCACGTTTATATTGACATTTAATGATTTATTATAGCTTATTGGTAGATTCTGCAGATAAGCACTTTCTTTCCGTGGTGTATTAAATTGCTATTGATTTAGTTCTTAAATTTGTATTGCAAATATTCATCTTGTTTGTTTGCCACTAGTGATGAAGTATTTAAATTTCAACAATAAATAGAAATGAATGGCAATTAGCTGGAATGTCATTTTATAATCAAAGTTAAACAGTGTTTTCACATTAAACAGAAATTGTAAGGATGGCAGGAGATAAGTTACGTGCTCCCCATTTTGAGCGTGTAGTGTTTGAAGGTTTCCTTTTGGGATGTCAGGGGAGCCTGATGTTACTTGTAAAATGTGGTGCCCGATTGCACTTCTGATGGCTTAAATCATGTCCAGTCTTTTGCACGCTCCCCGTTTACGCTTGGCTGATATTAGCCTGATGACATTTTGCTTGTGTTTCGGGGAGGGAAAAAGCAAGTGTAAAAAGGTCTGAAGGTACTTTTAAGATAATGTAATTTGACTGCGTGGTCTGTTTTGATGGTTCAGTGTTCTCAGCGTGTCACATCATGACCATTTTACCCTTGCTTTAAGATTACTTCAGATAAGGATTAATTCTGACCTAGTTTGAGAGGATTTCTAACTGTTTTTTCGATAATGGAGGGGTTTGAGTTTTTAATTTCTCAGTTAAAAGCAATCATTGCAGTAGCAGCATTATCCCTTTAATCCCTCCTCTCTAGCCATACCAACCTTGTGCAGACTGAGAGCAATGCATTTAGGAAGCGTAAGGCAGTGACATTGTGCCGTGGGAGAGGAAAGCCTGCTAGAATTCTTTCTCCCTGTGCAGAGACATGTTATCTCAGGGCTCTGCAAATTAGGGATGATCATTATCTGTAATGGCTGAAAAGGTAACAGACAACCGAATGAGTATCACACACAAGGATTTGACATACCTTCCT